CAGGTGTCCAGACGCTTTTGGTGCGAGGGACAGACTGACACCCTTACAACAAGAAGTTGGTAGCTCAGATTCCGATACTCAGAATCAATACGAAGTGTCTTCAAGAGAAGCATATCGTGATAACTAGTTCGTGTTTCTTGTGGCATGAATCATTAAGTTCATTATTTACTAACACTGGTGCCTCCTCATGTCAGTAAAGAATTTTTGCCGTCTAATATCTCCTTTACAAAGCATATTTTTCCAAGACATCTGTAATTTTTATTTTTTTGCCATATGATTTTTTCTCCAAAATACAATAAGTATGTATAAAATATTTTGGAGATCTGAAGCCTTCCTGTTTATTCTAGTCTTTCTTAAGTGGATGTGTATTGGGTGATGACCTGACTTAGGGCCGTGGTGTGTGTTGAGTGATGACCTGACTGAGGGCCGTGGTGTGTGTTGAGTGATGACCTGACTGAGGGCCGTGTGGCGTGTTAGTGTGATGACCTTACTGAGAGCCGTGGTGTGTGTTGAGTGATGACCTGACTGAGGGCCGTGGAGTGTGTGGGAAAGGGCAGTGGTGGGGTGAGGCATGATAGGGCTGTGGTAGGGTGAGGCAGGATAGGAGAGTCTGGGGTGAGGCAGGATAGGACTATGGTGGGGTGACGCACGATAGGACTGTGGTGGGATTAGGCAGGAATGGGATCTGGTGGGGTGACGCACGATTGGGCTGTGGTGGGGTGAGATAGGATAGGACTGTGGTGGGATTAGGGAGGATAGGGCAGTGGTGGGGTGACGCACGATAGAACTGTTGTGGGATTAGGCAGGATATTATTACACCGTCTGTAAGACTATCACGGTGTTTACCTTTCTTACATGGATAACGAATTGATTTCATAAAGACACACACACACACACACACACACACGTACACGTACTGTACACTTACAAGCAATACCAAACTACGGCCTAACTTTCTGATTCATAATAGCTTTTGTTATGACACGTTCTCCGTCCCTTGTTAAGCTTCAGTTTATTCCCCAACTTGAGGTGAATTTCTGCCGAATTGCACGACAATGAGGGAATTTTGTCGAGGTAAATCTCTTAGATGATACTAAAGTCCGCTCATACAGTGTCTTCCGTTCATTACAAAACACTTTTATGTTCTGGCCAAAAATACGATTGTAAAAATTGTCAAGTGGTAATGGAGGAAGGTGAGGTTAATGTGACTTGGTAGACATATAATTCATCATTTTGTTTCCATCATTTCACCAGCCCGGAAGAACCAAATAATTGACCTGACTGGTATAGCACAGACCTAAATAATAAATTTGACTGGTATATCACAAACCGAAACAATAGACTTGACTGGTATAACACAGTCCTAAACAATAGACTTCACTGGTATAGCACAGACCTAAACAATAGACCTGACTGGTATATCACAAACCTAAACATAGACCTAAATGGTATATCACAGACCTAAACAACAGAGCTGATTGGTATATCACAGACTTAACATAGACCTGACTGCTATATCTCCGAACTAATCAATAGATCTGACTGGTATATCACAGACCTAAACAACAGAGCTGATTGGTATATAACAGACTAAACATAGACCTGACTGGTATATCTCAGACCTAAACAATCGAACTAACTGGTATATCACAGACCTAGAGATAGAGTTGGTTAAAGTGGAACCTTGTGTCACTCTCCAGTCAATGTCAGTTTTCCTTTTTTTTTGCCATTTCTCAGAACAATTTTCTATCCAATTTTTACTTGCCTCTGTTTCTTTTTTATTCTCTCCTCTTCAGTTCTCATTTTCTCTTTTCTCTTATTTTGTTTCCTTCTTTCACATAATAAAGTCATGTTGATAGGATGTATGAAACACAATATGCCTTGCCATGCATAGCACTTGTTCCTATCACCACACTAACACTCTCTTCACCTCACCACCCTAATACTTGTTTCACTTCACCACACTAACATTGCATCACCTCACCACACTAACACTCTCTTCACCTCACCACAATAATACTTCTTTCACTTCACCACACTAACATTGAGTCACCTCACTTAACTTATACTTCCTTCACCACACCACTCTAAAACTTGCTTCACCTCACCACACTACCACTCGCTTCACCTCACCACACTACCACTTGCTTCACCACACCACACGACTTGCTACATCTCACCACACTACCACTTGCTTCACTACACCACAATAATATTTGCTACACCTCACCACCACTTGCTTCACTACACCACACCAAACTAATACTTGCTACACTTCACCACACTAATACGTGCTTCACCTCACCACACTAGCACTTACGTCACCACACCTATGTAACCAGTCTTGGCCACACAGTCTCTCACAATACCTCCAGAATACCGTCCATCACATCAGACCGAAGTCCCTAAGGAATTCCCACTTCCCTCTCACCTCACCATATTTTTCTCTCCTCTTCCTCACTCCTGCAACTCTCCCTCACAATATCCTCCTTCCCTGTGTTATTTGTGTTGTTTCTCACACGTAGGGAGGATTAACTTTGCACAGTTTGGTCCGTCCCTTTCAGCTTAGGGAAGTTTTTGGCACAGATTAAATTTGAACGGATGGATTCTTCAGGAGGGCGTGTCTTCCCGCTGACAACATTAATCGTTTGGATTTTATCATCAGTGTTGCTATATCGCTTTAGATCATATATGTTTCTTTCTATATCGTGTGTGGTTAATATATTCATTGCTAATAGGACATTTATATTTTTACCGAGTTGGTGATTATAACGTCAGTAGTGAAAACAATACTGTACTTCTTATCTTAAGATCATGTAAATCCTTTATTACAAACCTTTAACGTCAATATTTTTGTTGATTATTTTCCCTCACAAAAAATAATGATAGTATTTGTACGTGAAGTGTGACGTAGGATCTCAAGTATCACGTTACTGTACTGGTTGTAATGGTTTCCTTGTCGTGTGAAGGCAACGTGTTAACTGTGTTAATCCCAAACTACTTAAGAATTCTTCGAGCTTAAACAGATCGAATTTCTTAGTCTTTACTCTGCTCGAGCAAGCAAGAATATACATGTGTTTAATATTTGCTTACACTGTGGGGTATGTATTATGTTCGGGCACATTGGTGTATACATAATCATCGTAGCCTTTTATGCAGCTGCCCCCGACACGTAGCTGTGAGATGAATTTATTAATTTATATTGTTTACAAATGTCATGGATTGCTAAAAATTTCGTACATTAGTCAAAGAAAGTCTTGAGGTTGGGTTAGGTTATTTTCTTATGTTCTTTTGTTCTTATGTTCCCACACAGTGTTTACCTTCCCACACAGTGTTGACCTTCCAACACAGTGTTGACCTTCCCACACAGTGTTGACCTTCCCACACAGTGTTTACCTTCCCACACAGTGTTTACCTTCCCACACAGTGTTGACATACCCACAGTATTGACCTTTACTGATAATCTCAGTGTCGAAACACATGGTAGCATGTTAGGTGCCAGTCAAATGAGCACAACACGACAGTATCCAGGGTGACCTTCGATCTTTGTTAAATAATGCAGGGTCAGGTCGGCTCATCACCCTCACCTGGCGTGACCCCTCACCACTATCACCACCCTCACTTGTAGGCTGTCATCACCCTCACCTGGTACCCCCTCACCCTTCGCTCCCTACGACCCTCATCTCGATGATAATAATAATAATTATGAAATTATTCAGTAAAGTTTTCATACAGGTTTGCAATTGGATAAATATGTTTATAAACTATGCAGTTGTACAGTTCAGCATAAGTATAGACAATGTAGGCGTACGGTGCAGGTAGGCAGTGGGAGTACAATACTGTATATAGTTTCCTGTCTACCGAGACAATGCAGTTAAACAACAACTTGACCAAGGATAGCTGACAAAATTGCCAAGCAATACGTAACTGAACGAAGTATAACA